GCATATACAGTCAGGTAAACAAAAACAATATCACAATGTAAATCAAGTAAAAGGCAGATTAAACAACTAAATAACATACAGTACATGAAGAACAAATGAAAGACAGTAATATACAGAATATAAAATAAACCAATAAAGACGCATTTAAATAGTGAAATCATTAGTGAAATAGTGAAGAACAGGTGTGGTTAAGGTCGCTGAATTACTTTTTTTTTTAAACCTGTGTCGCAGTTTGTTTTTCTCCATCTAAAGGTAGGCCTATCGTTTGTGCATGTTTTATACACCTTAAAGAAAGTAATTGCAGCACTGATTTATTTAATTGTGTCCTTCTTTTTAGAAAGTGTGTCAGTAACTGGGGTCCCTAATAGGTGGACCGTGTCCGGACCCGGAAGCTGTCCTATCCGGACCCAGACCTGTAACCGTGAAATTAGTGAAAATTATTAAATTTTGACGAAGCGTTTCTATTTTAACCGGCGCAGCTTTTATCGTCTTTACGGTACTGGCTGAAACTCACAAACCAATTGCATGCGTTGTAGTCATCTGACGTAATGATACTCAGCCAATCAAATCTGTGCATTCGAGTCAGGGAGAATAAACAGTAAGCTGCCGCTAGTCCGCTACACAGAGGAGGAGAGGAAAACAAAGGCGAGAGACAGACAGTCGGAGAAGAGAGTCAGAGAGAGGAAATACATGGCGTGCTCTCAAAAGAGAAAGGTAGACAGTGAAAACAGAGCTTTTAATCAAGAATGGACAGACTGTTACATGTTCATTCTTGCCGCTGGCAGTTCAAAGCCAGTATGTCTCATATTTTCCGTGATGAGACCGTGGCGATTATTAAAAGCGGGAATGTGAAACGCCACTACGAGACAACACAGCTCTTTTGCGCTAACATACCCACTTAAATCCGAACTGAGGGCACAGAAAATAAGCGATCTAAGAGCCCAATATGATCGATCCACCCGGATACTATCCCAATCATTCACTGCCCAACAACGTGCTAATGAATGTTCCCTGAGAGTGGCTTGGATTTTGGGTCAACATAAAAAACCCTTTACTGACGGAGGGGTTGTTAAGGAGGGCATGAGTGCGGTAGCTGAAACCTTGCTGGAGGGTAAACAAAAGAAGAGCTTTGTAAAAAAATCAAGCAAATACCTATGTCAGCATTATCAGCCACAAAAAAAAGTGACTTGTTGACCCAGGATGTGCTAGCCCAGCTGGATGAAGCCATTCATAAGGCAACATGCTTAGGCTTATCTGTAGATGAGTCCACAGATGTGTCTGAGAATGCGCAGCTGTTAGTTTATTTGTCAGATTCTTCAACAAGGAGAAGAAAGAGTTCTGTGAAGACCTGTTAGGTGTTACGCCCCTTCAGACCAGTAGAAGAGGAGAGGACATCTACCTGGCCATAAAGGAGATGTTAACACAGAGGGGAATAGAGACAAAACAAGTGGTTTCTATAACCACAGATGGAGCCCCTGCCATGGTAGGGAGAGAGAAAGGAGCTGTGGCAAGAATGAAAGTGGACAATCCTGAGCTAATCTCTTTACCATTGTATCATTCATCAATCAGTTCTGTGCTCCACCCTGTCAGATGAGTATGCTGAGGTTATGAACACAATGATGAGAATGATTAACTTTCTCAGGGCATCCTTTTCCCATCAGCATCGCATGCTCAGGGAATTCCTCAGAGAAGTTGATGCAAATGCTGATGACCTTCTGCTGCACAACAATGTTAGATGGCTCAGCAAAGGCAGGCTGTTGAAGCGCTTTTGGTCCATCCGAAAGGAAATCGCAGCCTTTTTAGCACAGTTGAAGAGCCAGAAGGCAACACAATTTTCTCTCTTTTTAGAAGATGAGAAGAAGATGGATATGGTAGCATTTTTGGTTGACATCACTTCACACCTGAATGAACTGAATTTAAAGCTAGAGGGTAAGGAAAATACAGTTTGTGACCTGATGACAGCTGTCCGCTCCTTCCAGAGGAAACTTGAGGTGTTCAAGGAAGACCTGCAGGAAGACTGTGCACACTTCCCATCAGTGCAGGAACAGGTTCAGGGTGAGAGAGATAGATCTTCTTTTGTTGACTTTGTGGACAAGCTGATTGTAAACTTCAGCAAACGGTTTGACAGTTTCAGCCTTGGACAGCAGCTCACCCTGTTCATTCAGAACCCATTCCTCATCACAGATGTCAGGGGGTTCTCAAAGGAAGTCACACAGCACTTCAAGTGGGCAAATGCTGGCCTCTCCAGATGGAACTGGTCGATCTCCAAGGAGATGTGGCTCTGAAAAAGAACTTTGGAGAGACTGACCCTGACACTTTCTGGCTCCAAATGGTCTCAGAGACAGCTTTCCTAGGTCTGAGGAAAGTAGCCCTGTACATCTTGACCACTTCACCAATGAGCACCTACACGTGTGTATGAGAATGGCCCTGACACCATTCAAGCCCAGATTTAAAATCCTGGCAGGCCAAGCTCGAGCTCACTTCTCTCACTGAACAAGAGAAAGTAGGGGAGTGGGATATAAGAGGAAAAGAAAGAATAAATTAGGTGTTAAAGCTGTTCAGTTGTGAAGATGTTTCGAGATTGTTTATCATTTGTTATTAGTATTTTAGATTGTTTGTTAAGATGTGAAACAGAGTTAAAAAAGAACGAAAAGAAAAGGGAAACTCAAGCTGCCCTTTTTATTTCATTTTTCAAAAATGAAGCACTTTATTTTGATATGCACATTTTTCAAAAGCTCTATTTTATTTTTTACATGCAGCACCTTATTTTACTTGAAATGAGAGAGAGCATTTGTTTATTATTAGAATACTACTTATTATTTATAATCCCTGTTCAATGTGAAATCTGAATAAATATTGTTGAAATATTATTGGATTTCTTTATTTAATCAGTCAGTTGTTGACTTCATACATACGTTGATACAACTACTAGGCTACTTTAATGTGTATGACACTGAACTATAACTCAAGTTAGACATTACGATGTTCCGGACCTATGCTTGAGAAAATGTTCTCTAACTGAACCTCTTTGAATTTTAATTGAATACCCCTCGTATAGAGTATAATGTAGAGGCCAGAGGACGTGTTTTCTTTATTTATATCCGTGTTTTTACCACCGCTGTAGTTAGAGTGATAGCCTACATCCTGTGAGGCCTGAGAGATAAGGAGGGTATAACGAACCACATTTTGGACCAAACTGAGAGATTCATCACAGTTTGTACCAGTCCATTGTAAAACTGTATTCACACAATCAAAGATAGTGGAATAAGTGGAATCATTAACACTGTTACACTAACATCACATTAGTGTCTGCTCTGTTAAAAACACAGACTGAGCAGTAGTCACACATTCTCTGGAAGAAGCTTCTGGAGCACCAGAGTCAATAATATTCATAAAATCAGAGCTATTTAAGAAAACACTTTGAATCAAATGTAGACTAGGCCTACTGTACCATCCAGTGTTTCTAAATCCTCAAACTAATCAGATGTAGTTTATTTTATTGTTTGTTTTTTAGACTTTTAAAGGGAAAATAATGACGTGTGTTCTTGTTTTACATTTGAAATAAGTCTTAATATTTGTATATCTTCTGTACTGATTCTCTGCTCAGTCGGCTGTGAGCTTCATGACTTTAATCTGCAGCATTCACTGACCCTGACGGTGCAGGCAGACTTTTATTCATTCATTTGTTCTCTGGAAGAAGCTGCTGGAGTCACAATTCCTTAATTCCTCTTTAATGTAGTCTGTGTAATGTGTAAGGGGTTGGGTTAAAGGAGAACAGGTTTGTTTGGTTTAAGGTTTAAGGTCACTGAATTACTTTCTTTATTAATCTGTGTCGCAGTTTGTTTTTCTCCATCTAAAGGTAACGTCTATGCATGTTTTATATACCTTAAAGAAAGTAATTTATTTAATTGTGTCCTTCTGTTTGGAAAGTTTGTCAGAAAATGTATAGAGGACGTGTTTTCTTTATTTTATATCCGTGTTTTTACCACCGCTGGATTTAAAGAGATACATCCTGTGAGGACTGAGAGATACGGATTGTAAACAAACAACATTTTTAGATGAAACTGAGAAATTAATCTGAGTTTGAGTGAACTCATACGGGTAAAGAATTCTTCATAAGCTTTATTTCAGTATTTAGAAGTTGGTTTAATGGTGTTTACTTTTTCATATCTTCAGAAGCTCGGGTACAAAATAAAGAAACATGTCAGCAGCCTTTACGCTATAAAACCTAAGATAACATTTGTTAGTCTACATATTGATAACTTTTATAAAAGTTGATTAATATTAAAGGACAATTTGACGTCATTATTTAAACCTACACTTTAGTTTGAATAACTTTTATAGGTTAGACAAAAAGGTTTATTTTGGGTTTTTCAAGCCTTCATTTTAAGACAGGACAGTGGATAGAGTCAGAAATGAGAGAGAGAGAGAGAGAGAGGGTCAGATTCGAACCCGGGCCGCCCGCTTGGAGGTCCAAAGCCTCCGCTCATAACAATCACCAGACTACCAGCGCCCCCAGATGTTTATTTTAGAAGTCTGTTTAAATAAATAACTTTTAATAAATGTAGACTAGGCCTGTTGTACCATCCAGTGTTTCTAAATCCTCAAACTAATCAGATGTAGTTTATTTTATTGTTTGTTTTTTAGACTTTTAAAGGGAAAATCATGACGTGTGTTCTTGTTTTACATTTGAAATAAGTCTTAATATTTGTATATCTTCTGTACTGATTCTCTGCTCAGTCGGCTGTGAGCTTCATGACTTTAATCTGCAGCATTCACTGACCCTGACGGTGCAGGCAGACTTTTATTTATTTATTTATTTTTCAAATTAAGCTTTAATATAAACAAATGTTTTAGTTTTTAAGGTTGTTCTGAACTTGAAATAAAAACACAGTCAGATCAGTGCGCTCTGTTTTAAAGTTGTGATTTAGGTAAAAAAAATATAATTCAGTACGTCTTAAAGTCCTTCTCTGAGAGCAACGACCTCCATTTGTGGAGTGGCTGAGGCACAACAGTTTCCTTCTATAATAATAAAGGTGTTTATTTGTGTGTGTCTGTTAAGGAGGAAATGGAGAATCCTAACTCTGCATTTCCTTTTTCAGCCCAGAGCCGTGCAGAGACCAGACTCTGAAGTACTCAGTATGTCTGACTCAATGAGGAACCGCAGGTTACAACACTGGCTTAATGAGTAAGTCAACATCATGTTATTAAGATTTTTAGCATCTATATGAGTGAATAATTCTGCTGTTAGTGTTTGACCTGAAGAGAAAACAGCATACTTCAAATCAAAGTTCATCTGGTTTAATCCTGTTCTCTGTGCTGAACATATTCACAAAGTCAATAAAAACGACCTCCTTTCTAGATGATTAAAGGACTCGACATAGTCAAGAGAAAAGAGGAGGCTTCTTTTTAAAGAGGAGACATCCATTCAGAGCGAACACAATCTGCTTTATATCATATTCTAAAAGGAAAATCTGATGCATTCTTCATAGTTTCCCTGTAAGGACCAGTTGCTGCATGTGGTTTGATCACAAACAGTCAAATTAGAAAGGCAAACATTGACATTATAGCGTCATAAAGCAGATGATGTGGATTTCCTTGTTGTTGACATGTTTGATGATGAAGAAATTCTCCGTTGACACTGACTTGCTTACATAATGATCATTTTATTGACAAACAAGTTACAGCATCGCCAGGCTCGCCATGGTTCGACCTGGGAGAGACACAGCCAAAAGTGATCTCTTCCCTTACACACAGAAACTCTGGTATTTATGGACACACCTCACAGGAGAACAACATGAGGACATCTGTTTGTTTTCAGGACACCCCTCTTCATACAACTGCAGGGGTTTCTGTCTTAGTCATATGTATGTCATATGTATGTCATAAACTCAAAGGACAACTCAGGTCACAGATACAATCTCTTGTCCAGAAGTCCCTGGGCAACTCTCTGGATACAGGGGCCCCATTGTACACATTCCACTGAGAGGGCTCCTAAATCTCCTTCAGATACTATCACAAGACGCACCCATTGTAAACTTATATTATCTCTGTCCTGGTTACGTCAGACACTTCACAGACTCTGTTGCTTGTCAAAAAGGTTGAACCCCGGGTCGTCCACTTGGATGGCTTTAGCCTCCATACATGAGACGTTACGATCTGCTAGGTCATCAGTCACCTGTTTGTTGAACATTTTATAAAATGATAAAGAAAACTCATAACCTCTTTTACTGATTCCACTGTTTTATATCATATTTAAAAATAATCTGGATTTTCTTTTGATATGAATTTTTTTCTGGTGAAGTTGCATCATAACCGTGTTTATTGTTACAGGCCCAACTCGACCTTCTCCCAATCGATGATAGATGGCGCTGAAGCAGCAGATGATGCTATAGAGTCAGGATTCTCATCTGTCAGTCAGTGAGTGAAATGTGCTTACATCTTATTCAGACTGACAGTTTTAAAAATATAAATATTTTGATGAGGCTTAACCGTATCAGTTAAAACTGACATCGAGTGCTTTCACACGGACTTGAGTATCACATTTTTTTATTTATTTTTTAAAGATTTCGTTTTAGGACAGATAAGCGGATAGATTTGGAAATCAGGGACAGAGAGTGGGGAGTGACATGCGGGAAAGGAGCCACAGGTCGGATTCAAACCCTCTATATATTGGGCGCGCGCACTAACCACTCAACTTAGTAATCAACAAAAAAATACAACTGATGTTTAGTGAATTTTTAAAAATCTACATATTACACCTTTAAGAAATTTTCTTATTTCAAATCTCAACACGCTGCTACTTTCATCAAACACTGGATGATGATTAACAACACACACATTCTCTCTGAAGTTCTTTGTTTTGATGAAGTTATGGATTTCCTTTAAATGTTTTTTTTTTTTTTCAAACTTGTTGTTGCTGTTGGTCCAGAAATGTCCCAAATAGTCAGGTTGGTCAGGTTTAAAGTTCATGTAAGAATCAGGAGTTTATCATTCAGAGTGAACTAAATCAAGTCTTACTGGATCGATGTCTAATTTAGAAGTTTTAGTTTTTCATCTGTTGTTGTGGTTTGATATCTAACTATCTAATCTTTCTCTCTTTTTTCAGCTTTCTCAGTGATGACGACCAATCGACATGTCCATCTGATCTATCCCTCCACAGTGATTGGTCAAATGGAATATTTATTGATTTTAAAAAATCAGAAAAAAGCCAAGCCACCCAATCAGGTAAGTGTTTTTAACAATGAATCCTGACAGTCATGTTTGTACACACACACACACACACACACACACACACACACACACACACACACACTGAGTCTGTTTTGCTGCATGTTGAAAAAACAAATACAATCTCATGTTGAGTCGATCATGTTTGCACTCTGAAAACTTTCATCTGTCTTTATTATTTTCACAACAGGTTTGTTTTTCTAACTTTTTTTGCATCCTTCCAATCCGTGTTCAGGATCAGTTTCTGTGTGTAAATTGGTGGTGTTCCTTTAATGTGTAGTTTCAGTATAGCTAGCAGCGTATCAAACTCTGACATCCTGAAATACACCTGAAGTGATGCTGATCATTCTGCAGCTCTTTTATCAACAGGGGAAACTCTCCTGGCTCTTGTCTTGTTTTCAGGAGTGGGTGGACCCAGAGGTTTTTATTTCTTTATTTTTTAAGGACTGAAAGAATCACAAAGTCATCCTCACGGCTCGATGACTCCATTCTGTCTCACACTGACAATTTTCAGAATGAAGAGAAGAATGAACACATCTGACTCAGAGTGTGAGGTTCCTGTGTAACGTTTTGATCGGATTACAGATCTGAAAAACACATTTTAAAAAAACAGACTCAGTGTGCAAAGACCTTAAAGATGAAACAACCCCCATGGTTGATGTAAAGCAAACGCCATGCTCCTGTTTAAAAGATGTTGAAGTGATGTTGAGTTTTCAAGTCAAATGTTTGACTGAAACATCAACACCTCCTCTCTACTTTGATCCTTTGTGTCATTCATGGAATAAAGAAACAACACAGTGTTTAATGTGTTGCTCAGTGTCTGCTTTGCTCTTCATATTTCATTTGTAATAAAGAAACATCATCAGTGTGTCTCTTGTTGCAGGGATCAAATGTGGCAACGTCTGCAGGGAGTGATGGGCATCGTTTTTCGGCCCGTCTCCCACCTGATCAGTGAGTAAAATGTATTTACAACATATACAGTATGTATTCTTTGAGATGAAGCTGTGAACATCATTTAAATGTTCTTAAGGTAAACGGATCTTTATTGTCATGTCTCTATTGTTCATGAATGAATGTTTGTTTCATATTTTAATTATGAAATTTTGTAAATCAACATTTTAAAGCCGGACCGTCTTCTCCTTCAGAGAAAATGACATGTTGCTTTATTAATGAACATTTTGGTCAACGACACAAAGTATAAATAACATGTTTCTTTTTTTTACACTTACTTTGATCACATTAAAAAAATTAGCTGCTTTTGATTTGAATGTTTATTTTGATGAAGAATAATCATACAATGCTTATTACTCCATGCAGGATGAAGAGGAGGAAGAGGAGACTAAATCAGTGATCTAAAAGTCTGAACTTTGTGTCTGGACTTTGGGCTGACTGGTTGTTTGAAAACCATGTTGAGTATAATGATCTGTAGCTCTTTTTGTGACAGCTTGATTTGGATACTTATGGATAAAACAAATGTAAATGATAAGATTTGTTAGTGACATAAGATGATGAAGTCAACTCAGCCTTAAAACAACTGTTGTTTTCTATTATCTTACTGTCATCTGTGTACTCATTCTTTAATTTTCTCTGCTGGGATTCTTTTGATTGATTGAAGTCTTTATTTCAAATTTGTATTTTCTTTTCCCCCCCTTTGTTTCAGGATAAAAAAACAAACAAAACAGATCCACAAAAAGAAAAGTAAATAAGACAACAGAACATTTGAATTTCATGTTCGTAAAGAAGTGGGAAGAAGTGTGAATTTATAGAATCCCACCCCCTCTCTGTTAATCTGTAGTTAATAGTTGAACAGGCTTCCTTATTTAATCTTCATTTACGAATAAATAAATAACGAATCTGCAATACACATTTATATATATAAACCAATAAACATACAAAATATATAAATTAAATACAAATGTTTTCTGCAAAAATATAATTTCATTTATCAACCATGCACAGGTGTAATTAATTTATACTTGTCCAAGATGGGCACACCTCCATCGCAGTAGAGAGTCTATCATTGTTTGTCTATCATTTATCAACCATTGACATATTTGAACATGTATTGATTTCTTTTATCTTCGATATTCATGTTCTTCTCCCTTAATTAATGATATACAGTTTGTAGTAATACATTTAAGTTAGTGTTTTTTCTCCATTACCTATTTACCCTTCACCATACCTGTCAACATATTTACATATATACCTTCATTCCTTTTAGAAAAACTAACATAAGAAAAAAATTAACAACCGTTATAATCACCATCATAACCACGCAGCAAATGTTTAGTCCCTTCTGCATCCTTATACTTTCTGAAAATGTTTTTATTTTTTTTGTACATTTTGTAAAACTTGTTTGTGCTTGGACTTGGCTTCAGCTCCACATTTAAACTGTTACAAAGTTTTATGCCAACAATAGAAATAGAAAAACTTCTGAATGTTGTGCGTGTGGCCAGAATTTTGAGATTCAGTTGTCTCCATATTGTAACCCCCCTCTCTATCAAAGAATAGTTTTGGGATATTTGCTGGTAGTAAATAGTTTTTTTTCTTTCTACAGTATTTGTGCTATTTGAAATTCTGTGAGTTTGAGTGTTTTTTGACTGCAAGAATAATGAGTGAGTGATCCGCATATCCAGCATTATGAACGAAGCCTATGGCTCTTTTCTGAAGTACGGAGAGTGAGTGCGCTTAACTTTTATATGTGTTGCCCCGAACCTCCTCACAGTAACTTAAATATGGGTAAAACAAGTGTACTGTAGAGGGTATGGAGAGATTTGTGATTTATTTATCTATTGTTACCCCAACAAATGTGTATACATAAACTATTTAAATGCTGACACATCTATTTGTAGCTGTATTTTTGTGTT